ACCGTGTCCCATCCTCCCATCCATCCATCCTGATCCAGGTCCACACTCGCGACCGCCAAAAGAACCGTGGGAACACAAACCAGATACTGCCCACAAAAGATGCGGTGCAAAAGCTACTACTCACCTTTGACGAATTACTAGAGGCATTGACGGCTCACGGCTGCTTCAAGAAATTAACCGGCCGTCCGTCCGTCCGTGTTGTTGACTTACTGTCATAGGCAATCATGCCATGGGTTTACTTGTTAGTTAAAGGGTAGTACCATCTTTTATACCGGAATGTTTTTCCCTTCATTCTTCTCCGTGCTTTCGGTACCGGCGGTGATGGGCGTCTTTTCCTTCATTTTTATCCGTCGAAAATCCTACACTTACGGATAGCAAGCCACGGAGGGAACGCACGGGAATATGTGTCCCGACTAATTTCCCTCCCCTTCCCCCTGATTTCAACTATGGTCCTCTCTGATTTCCAATGAGCCGTTGCCTGGTCTGCCCATAGGTTGTCATCCGTGAATTTGTGTCCATAAGTTTAGCAAAACTCTTTATCCGTGTACCTAGAATCGACCGTGGCGAGCGTACAAACTCTCTCTGTGTGTGTGTGTGTGTGTGTGTTTGTTTTGCTTTCTTCTTACCTGTTTTTCGGAGTCGATAGTACCACTTCAAGAAATTAACCGTCTAAGTTATTGACATTGTCAGTCATACAATCGCTAAGATGGATTAGAGGGTAGACGATATAGCCTACAATTCCTACATGATGCTTACTACTACTACTACAAAAGATGAGGTGGAAGAGCTACTCACCTTTGACGACTTATCACCACCAGCATCATGACCACACGAAATTAACCGTCCAAGCTGTTGACCTTGACCGTGTCAATCGTAGAATGTTGTTCCACTCGGCCCTAACCATGTTTCCAGAACCGGCCGGCGGCCACGAGTGTGGAAACTAATGCGGTTTTCGCTTGCTCCTTGACCTTGACCTATTTTCGATCGGAATATATTTGTGATGAGTGGTGCATGCTTTGTGTTTTTCTTTTCTTTTCATTTCTCGTGCCTTTTCCGGAGTTGGTAGCGATGAGTGCGCAAACTTTGCGACGTACGTGATGGAGTTTTTTCACCGCCTCCGTCAACTTTGCGACGTGATGGAGTTTTTTCACGGCCTCCGTCGTCAATTTCGCGTGACACCACCACCAAAAACCACCGGAGTGGCCGATGAGGCGGGCATCGACCGCCGTTAATCCACACCCGATTAACTTTAACCTCCATCGCACCATACGCACACGCACACCTGGATTTGCAGCTAAACAAAGCACGCCTTAATAAGTTAATCAGGTCAGCACCCGGCAGCCAATGGTGCAATCGCCCGAAATTCTTCTCCCGCCGCCGCCCACCACCAGCTAGCAGCCCCGCGTATATAAGCCTCGGGCCCGGCGCCGCACATTCGCCGTCGTCGTCGTCGTCCTGGCGCTCGCCGATCGAGGCCAGCAGGTAGATAGACATCCGCTACGCGCGCGGGCTCGCTGGTCAGGGAGCAGCTAGCTAGGAGCCATGTGGGCGTCGTCGTGGTCGTGGGGGTGGGGGTGGGGGTGGGGCGCCGCCGTGCTGGTGGGCGCGGCGTGCCTGTGCGCGCACGCGGCGGCGGAGGCGCTGTGGCTGCGGCCCCGGCGCCTGGAGCGGCACTTCGCGGAGCAGGGCGTGCGCGGGCCCGGGTACAGCTTCTTCGTGGGCAGCTCCATCGAGCTGGTGAGGCTGATGCTGGACGCGTCGTCCCGCCCCATGGCGCCGCCGGGCTCCCACGACATCCTCCCCCGCGTCCTCGCCTTCTACCACCATTGGAGGAAACTCTACGGTACGCATACGCTTATCGATCCATCAACAACACTTGCTCGATTTTGCTCCCTTGTCTCTTCTTCTTAGCCGGTGACAATCTCTCTCTCTTCTTCTTCTTCTTCTTCTTCTTCTTCTTCCAATTTTGCTTTCGACCAACTTCCATCGTCGCCTCTAGCTAGCAGCTGGCTCAGTTCATGCATCGATGGAATTTTATTATCAGCAGTTCCATTACCGGGATGACTTTAAGGGAAAAGCGCGTGCATTTGCGATTAGAATTCCGCATATGAGGAAATAAACAAAGGTTAGACGACGAGACAGTGTGACGCGTGAAGCCGGCCGGAGGAAAGGAGGGGACATGCCTCCATGCTTTTGCAAGTAGGAACAAGAACTGAGGATTTTTAAAAACCGTGGCGCCTCCCTCGTTTGGTTAGGTGACCCCCTCCATTTTACCCTTTTTTGACGTAGCAGTATGTACGTATACAATATATAATTATATATACATACAATGACATAAATATATACCGGTTGCTTCTTTCGCTTTTGTAAATCTTAAATGATAAAAATCACTAGCAAAAACGGCGTATGCAATGAGCTCCATCGCAAGTCAAACCTGGTGGGATGTTGGCCATGATCCGTCGATCGTCCCACCAGGCTGTCGACGCGCGATAATGCGACTAGATTAAGCGAGCCGCGAACCAACCCGACCTTGCGGCGAGGAGAATCGCAGATCCACGCCCACATGCGCAGCTTGCTTAATCTGTGCTCAAGTCGTCGTTCGGTTGATGCTGCGTATGAGCAGCACATTGCCAGCCGGAGCATGCAGCATATATCGGTTCAGGATCCAAGTTTGATTCCGGCAGTTTGCTCTCATTAGTTTAAATCTTGCGGCGCGCCACGGCTGCCGACGATAATTTCCCTCTCGTTTTCAACGGCTGTGGTGGTGATTAGTTAGTGTAGTTAGTTAGCTCGGGTGTGGAATCTTATTGCTGATCGACCGTGAGCAGATCACGAGCACGACATGAATATGAAAAATTACGTATACATTTGTAAATTCTCTCCTGCCTCAATCTCGACCGTCCAAATCCAGATCGAACGGTCAGGAAAAAGCGAAATGCGCATCGTGTGAACTTAATTCCGACGATAGATTGACCCGAGCTAGTTCAGACGGCGATTTTGTGTCGGCCAGCTGATCTGTGCGTGTTGTTTGGCAGGCCCGAAGCATCTGATCTGGTTCGGGACCAAGGCGAGGCTGACGATCAGCGCGCCGGAGCTGGTACGGGAGGTGCTGCTGACGCGGGCGGAGCACTTCGACCGGTACGAGGCGCACCCGCTCATCTGCCAGTTCGAGGGCTACGGCCTCGGCAACCTCCGGGGCGACCAGTGGGGGCGCCACCGCCGCGTCCTCTCCCCGGCCTTCCACACCGAGAACCTCAAGCCGCTCGTGCCCTTCATCGCCGCCACCATGCGCCGGATGCTCGACGAGCTCGCGGCCAAGGCCGTCGGCAATGGCGCCGGTGGCGAGGCGGAAGTGGACGTGGCCGAGTGGTTCCAGCGCGTGCCGCAGGAGGTGATCACGTTCGCCACCTTCGGGCGCCGGAACTACGAGGACGGCAGGGTGGTCTTCGAGCTCCAGGACGAGCTCGCCGGCCTCGCCGCCGACGCGCACAGCAAGGTCTACATCCCCGGGTACCGCTTCCTGCCGCTGAGGAGGAACCTGCGCGTGTGGCACCTGGTCAGGGAGATCCGGAAGGGCCTGGCCGCCTTCATCGCCAACCTGCCCAAGGATGGTCAAGGTCACGGCGACGAGCTGCGGCGGGACGGCGGCGGCGGCATGAGGGACCTGATGAGCTTCATGACGCCGGCCATGATGACCGAGGAGATCATCGAGGAGAGCAAGAACTTCTTCTTCGCCGGGAAGGAGACGCTCGTCAGCCTCCTCACCTGGGCCACCGTCGCCCTCGCCATGCACCCGGAGTGGCAGGACCGCGCCCGCCAGGAGGTCCTCGCCGTCGTCGGCCGCGACGACCTCCCCACCAAAGACCACCTCCCCAAGCTCAAAACCGTACGCACCGTACTCTACCTCTCGCTCCCATGCACGAGAGCAGCTTCCATGTTCCCAGCAGCTAATGGCGACGTGCTATGTATGCATGCAGGTGGGGATGATCGTGAACGAGACGCTGAGGCTGTACCCGCCGGCGGTGGCGATGATCCGGACGGCGAACCGGGACGTGGAGCTGGGCGGGTGCGTGGTGCCGGCGGGCACGGAGCTCCTCATCCCGATCCTGGCGGTGCACCACGACGAGGAGCACTGGGGCGCCGACGCGACGGAGTTCAACCCGGCGCGGTTCGGCGACGACCGGCGGCCGCGGCACCAGATGGCGTTCATGCCGTTCGGCGGCGGCGAGCGGGTGTGCATCGGCCAGAACCTGGCGCTGATCGAGGCCAAGGTGGCGCTGGCCGTCGTGCTGCAGCGGTTCGCCTTCCGCCTGTCGCCGGCGTACGTGCACGCGCCCAGGGTGCTCATGATACTCAACCCGCAGTACGGCGCGCCGGTCATCTTCCGGCCGCTGTGAACACGCCGGACCAACGCCGGCCATCCATCCATCCCCAATGTCAATGCTAGTCGGATTCAATTAATTCCTTGCTGTACATTACCACCGTCTCCTCTGTCAAGTGAAAATGTATAAAGTTATAGTACCATACGTACGCAACAAATGCCAGATTACAAAGAAGAGAAGCATATGTAGCTGTTCATTGTCAGTTTGCCACATTTACTTATTTTTCGCTCACTCTTCCTGAATCTCATACCAGCGATGTAAATCTGCAAGTGTTCACAAACATGAAACAACAAAACATACAAAATGATAGGCTTCATGTTGTCCCCAAATTAATCGTACCAGGTGCGGCGCACGCTCACATCTTCAGGATGACAACAAATTACGGTATATATATCGAATCTGGTTCGGCACATTTGTTTGACACCATATATGCATGCAGCAATGCTTCATGTTCTTGTGAAATGACAAGCTGTTTCTGTAAATATGATAAAACACTAAACAATTCTATACAGGGTATCACATTACACAGGAGGTTTTTAAATAAGCACGGAAGAAATGGGTTGCCTTTCTCGACCACTGTTTTTTCTTTTCAAAGGGTAATTTAAATTTCTTGAGGGTCTATACTGACAAGCGCACAAGCTTCTCGATTTCCTTGACAATTAAGTCTCGCTCCTCGTCAAGTTGTTCATCTTCACCTAGTAAGAGGAATGCACTACAAGTGTCATACTCTGCATACATCTCTCACAATCTAAAAAGAATCCCCCTGAACACTAAAGTCACAGCTTTTATGTTTGGTTGCTCCATTATCACTCGCATCAATTGTTTAGTCAGAGCACAAAATCTGATAATCCAGTAGGGTTAAGCTGGAAGTAGAGAATTACCTTTGCTTGCAGGAAGAGCATGGAGCAACTTCAATAATTCTTTGTGGTTGTCTACCAAAACTTGAATAATATCACGAGGCTTGTTTGGATTGGCAACAAATACCTAATTCCATGCAGCAAAAATGAACCACCGATAGGGTAAATAGATGTGCTCATAAAGTCATATTTGACCAACCATAACTACTTGCAGAATTATCAAAATCAAACAAGTACAAAGGTTGGAAAGAGATAAAGGAATACCTTAAAAATGTGAAAGGAACATATCCTGATATTTTTGCTTGAATCCTACAAGTGATTCAGTATATTGGAGGTATTAAGAAGGGATAGGGATAACCAAAAAAATGCTGGTTAGCTGTGAAGCTCGAAGGAAACCTATAACCACTTCCCAGCTTTTATCTAGCGTATTGATTGTGTCTATTCAAATATTTCTATATTAGAAAAGCAACATGATTGCTTCAATTGCCACTTCAAGATAACAAGCCTGACACTCAAACAGTACATAATTTGTTGCAGGAAACATAATTGCCAGTTATATTATATCACCTTTCTATCAGCTAGGCTGTAAATAATTATGCCATTTATCATGGTTACAAACAGAAAAACATTCAGCTCTGGATCAGTAGTAGCCACAATTTTGAATATCATGGTGGCTGGCAAGCCAGTAATACAAAAGCAGTGTTTCTCATTTCTCATACTAGTACCACCAGCCTCCATTGTAAAAAGCAAGGCGAGCAGAACATAGGAAGTGAGAACAATAGTAAGTGCATGGACGATTACTGAATGTAGAAGCAGGAAATATATGAGGACAATTTAATACCTTTAGTAGACCCATCATAATGTTCAAGTAACGAACTTCCAAAATGTACCGCTTCATTATCTGAGCATTTGGGGCCTCCAACAGAAACTCTGAAAGAAACTGACATACAGTAACACACTTTTATGTTTCCTTTCTCAGCGTGCAACAATAAATGTTAATGGAGTAACCAAAAACAGGCTAACCTTCACTGATTGTCTTCTTGTCACATAATTATCTGAAGTTAAAAGCCTTTTGTAGAGTTCAAAGAACTGCACATATTTACATAATCAACATGACACGAAATGTGGATCAGTCGATTCAAAACATATTCATATTGTTAACATGAACGTGGTGGAATTCACTAATTTCATAAAAAATATACTTTTCTCTCATCTACCTGTTCATAATGGGAAATGAGAAACTCAGAGACTGCATCTTCATGTCTAGTGAGCAAATCCTGCAAAAATCATGTCAATCACACATAGCAACAGTGAAGAACCAAGCATAAAGCCCAATCACAGTCTACCATAAATACCAAATTAACAAAACTGGATTTACCTTGAACGTATTCAGAGCATCAGAAGCAATATCAAAGTTTGGCAATTCAACATACTGGAAAAACAACTCGAAGCTATTTGACTCCAATATATATCTGAAAGAGCACTACAAAATCAAAATGCATGTAAAATTAATCAACTATATGTAATTAGTTAAATCATTTCTCTGTACGTTGCTTCAGGCAACCATCTCATAGCTCACGAACAAAGCCAACTGCTCATACATACAGTTAGAAGGTAAACTGAAGGAAAAACTGTTTCAAATTCAACAGCATCACAATGCTTGTCAAACCAGGATTAGTTTAGTGGGGAGTCGACTTGGGAAGAAGAACTAACTTCTGCAGGAAAAAAAAACTTTCCCATGGGTGACTGCGACTGTATGCGAAATCAATGAATTATTTTACTGTAGCTGGCACTATGTACGATTACAGAGTTTCTATGGAGAAAAAATCAAAATATATTCAATACATATTTTCTTCAAGGCACACATGTCGGACACCATATGTTAAAGCAAGTCGTTATTAGCCCATAATAACCACTAAGAGATAGAAAATATAGTTTAATGGAGACTTTGAAGCCTTACTTTGCAAGTGAGGGATATTTTATGCATTCTCGCAACATGTTTCCACAGTTCAATGCGACTTCCAAGTTCTTGTAGCTAGCACAACATAGTTAATCAATCAAGCACAAAAATATTACAATTGCATATATTGTATACATGAACCATAAACAAATACCAAAAAATGGAAGTATAGGTGGGGAAATATATTGAAAATGCTCCAACTCAACAACCGAAGTAACCAATGGCTAGTGACTAGCAGAAGTTCATGGCAAAACATAGCAATCATACAAATTCATGAAGATAATGATGGGACCAGAAGGAAAGGGATGGAACGGAAACTTTCCACATTTTCCGCGGAAAAGGAAACAGAGGAAATACGGAAACAGAAATGAAATATTGTGAAACGGGAGCGAAGGCGGATTTTTTTTACACGGAAACAGAAACGGAATGGCATTTTCCAGCGGAATAGTCATGGAAACAATTCTGTTTCCGTAAATACAGAACTTTCCATCTTTGCCATGGCTGCTACGTGGCCTAGTACAGCACGAGATGAAGCCCGTGTTGTGGCCCAACAACCAGAATGCTAATACCTAGCCTAATCTCCTACGCTTCACCATTCCTAATTGGGCACGCGAGCACGCCACCGCCGCTGCAGCGCCGCTGTGGTGCCACGCACCCATCCCCAGCCGGCCAGCCCACACACCACCACCGCAAAGCCACCCACCCATCCTCGCTGCAGTGCACAGGCACCTCTACGTTGGTGCAGCTGGTTTAGGAGTTAGGCCATGGGCTTACGAGATTGTCGAAAGACATTGTAGTCTATGGTTCAACAGGTTTGTTTGTTTACTTGTGTTTTTCTCTATGGTTCAAGAGGTCGCTTAGTTTCAGTGGACATCCGCTTATTTCCGGTAGTATCGGTTTGGTATTTGTTTCCGGGGTTTATGTATTCATTTTAGCTTCAGAGAAAAAATGTGGCAGCACTCAGTTACATCTGTTTCTGCTCCGTTTTCATCCCTACTTATAGGCAGCAGATAGATAGCTTCCACATGGTAGCACGATCGGATCACTACTAATAAACTAATCAACATGTACAAAGTGTGTCAATAACTCGACAATAGGCCTTACCATACAACAAGGAAATCTAGAAGATCAACATGATTTTCGATATACTGCACGCAGCAGTGACTTTCATCAACCTTCTGCCTCAACAAAATGCACCAGCAGTGGGCAAGATCCTTTCTTCCCTGTAATGTGAAAGTGTAAGTCTAATACGCTTAGCCAAAAATGGCATCACATTCAATTGATGAATACAATACCTCCCAACCCAGCGAAGGCAGGTTCTGAACAAAAAGAGAAAGGACACCCTCCTTGCAAATTTCAAGGGCTATCTGTAAGACATGATCCTGGTTTGGTTCAACTTCTCCATCACCAGAAAGTGTTTGTCTCAAGGTGAATATGTTTTTCTCAACATCTTCGAGGGCCTGATAAAGGAAGGCGACAAGGCATAGTATATGAGGAACCAGTGGTTTGTATCCATGGTCTAGTGTGTGTTAAATAATTGTACAAATAGACATACGACAGTCACGAAACAACAAAAACAATAAATAGCAACAAAAAAGACATTCCCATGATTATGTGCAGGCTCCAAATGTGCCTCACATTTGCAGCCCACCTGTATACAGACACTGTTATAAAGCATTAACAGGAAATGCATGCTTGGAGATACAAGTAGTGCGACTTATGTAATTCTTACAGTTACAAACCAGATGCTAATTTGTAAACAAAGCCAATTCCAGCCTAACCCTTTTTTAGATGCATGGAGTAACGCGTTTAACGGATATATAAAAGAAAACATCCTTTTGCTGGAAGGAAAAAAGAAGCGATGCAGTGAGCTATTCCCTTATCAAGCGGAACCAGACTCGAGGATAAGCTAGTTCTTGAATTAGATTCACCCTGACATGGATGCCTTTGTGAGCACCAGCATTGGGGCAAAAGGAGCACTCAACTGCTAAACACATTCACTCCAGATGCCATTACTGTCCAGAAGTCAGTGACTTCTGAAGCTTTGGCCGACACACTAATCCTTGCATCCAGAAGATGGCAGAGCCACACAGATGACAGATCACTGGCAATTACGGTTGCTACCAAGTCACTTGCTTGCACGACGGATTACGCTGCGAAGCTCCAACCATGTGAAGGCACAACTTTCACTGCCAGTAAACATTCGTCGACTACAAAGGACTGAAGCACTGGCATTAAGATCTAGAGAGAACACTCGTCGGTGCAGAAGGCAATCCCAACTCCCCTCACCGATCGGGATGAGCAGACGCTAGCCCCGAGCCGGGACGCGCAGATCGGCCGGGGAGTGCGCGGAAATGGTCAGAGAGGGTAAAGACGCGAGAGAGGGGAGCAGCACCTTGGCGCCGGTCTTGGTGTCGAGCGCGAGGAGGGAGTCCTTGATGGAGCGCACGAGGTCCTGCTGCGACGAACGCGGCCGCGACGCCGCGCGGAAGAAGAAGGACATCTCGCCGCCGGCTGAGGGGACTGAACCGGCGGCGTGGGGAGCGGTTGGGAGCAAAGCGGAGACGAGACGGGGAGTTGAGGACGACGACCCAGCAGTGCGCAGCGAGCTTCAGCTTTCTTTCTTTCCGTTTTCACAGGCCGATGGCGTACAGTCTAGAGATTTTCCGGGGTCAGTTTTTTTTTTTGAGTGGATTTTCGGGGATCAGTTATTAGTTTTTTTAGACAACCTCCGATTTCGTATCTTTGAGAATAACCAATCATCATAGAGAATAATTTCATGAAAACCACATGGATAATACCGAGAAGATCCATAATAATATGAAGGGCAGTACTCTGCACCGGTCAGCCGGCCCATACTTTGGGCCGGTCTAACCCAGGCCGTTAGATGCGATGTGTAGAAACCGTAAGATCGAAGCATCCCGTCCCCACTCCCGCATCCCCCGCGTGTACACTCTCTCTTCCCCCCTCCTCCCTCGGCAACATCGCCTCTCGCCGCGCGGCTGACGGGGATTGCAACACGCCTGCGGGTGAGCTCCATCTTCTATTGCGATTCCATCTCTCCATGGCCGATTCCAGCGTGTGCCGTGGTTGTAGCATTTTCCGGCGTAGTCCAGCTTTGGCTAGCCGCGTCGTTGACTCCCACCACCATGTTCTAGCAAAAAGAAAGAAAAATCTCTCAGCAACAAAAAAGGCACCGTCCCCGGCAGTAGCAAAAAACAAACACAGTTCCAGCAAAAAACAACAATGGTTCCAGTAGAAAAAATTAGCGTCGCCGCCGGCGACTGTTGCAACGAAACACGCCATCGAAGCAGTAAAAAACTTTGCCGGTTGTAGCAGATCAAAAGGTCGGTGCCAGCAAAATGACTTGCCTGGTCGTCCGATTCCAACACCAGTCGGCGTGGATGCAACTTTTTCGCCGGCTGGTTCCAGCAAACAATTCGCTGGATACAACACCACAGGTCGTCGTCTCCATCGCCGGCAGTGCTGCCGGGGAACGCAGTAATTTCAAAAAAAAATTCTACGCACACGCAAGATCCATCTAGATGATGCATAGAAACGAGCGGGAGAGTGTTGTCCACGTACCCTCATAGACCGAAAGCGGAAGCGTTATGACAACGCGATTGATGTAGTCGAACATCTTCACGATCCAACCGATCCAAGTACCGAACGCACGACACCTCCGCGATCTGCACACAATCAGCTCGGTGACGTCCCTCGTACTCTTGATCCAGCTGAGGCCGAGGGAGAGTTTCGTTAGCACGATGGCGTGCTAACAGTGATGACGAAGCTACCGGCGCAGGACTTCGCCTAAGCACTGCAACGATATGACCGAGGTGGAAATCTGTGGAGGGGGGCACCGCACACGGCTAAGACAACTGTCAACTTGTGTGTTCTAGGGGTGCCCCCCTCCCCCGTATATAAAGGAGCAAGGGGAGGGGGCCGGCGGCCTCATAGGGTGCGCCCCAAGGGGGGAATCCTACTCCTACTAGGAGTAGGTTCCCCCTTTCCTAGTCCAACTAGGAGGAGAAGGAAAGAGGAGGAGGGGAGAAGGAAAGAGGGGGCCGGCCCCCAAGCCCTAAACCAATTCGGTTTGGGCCTAGGGGGCGCGCCCCACAGCTCCCTTGCTGCCCTCTATTTCCACTAAGGCCCATGAAGGCCCATTGACCCCCTGGGGGGTTCCGGTAACTCCCCGGTACTCTGGTATTTATCCGGTGTCTCCCGGAATCTTTCAGGTGTCCGAATATAACCTTTCAATATATCAATCTTTATTTCTCGACCATTTCGAGACTCCTCGTCATGTCCGTGATCTCATCCGGGACTCCGAAAAACCTTCGGTACATCAAAACACATAAACTCATAATACCGATCGTCATCGAACGTTAAGCGTGCAGACCCTACGGGTTCGAGAACTATGTAGACATGACCGAGACACATCTTCGGTCAATAACCAATAGCGGAACCTGGATGCTCATATTGGCTCCTACATATTCTACGAAGATCTTTATCGGTCAAACGACATAACAAAATATGTTGTTCCCTTTGTCATCGGTATGTTACTTGCCCGAGATACGATCGTCGGTATCACCATACCTAGTTCAATCTCGTTACTGGCAAGTCTCTTTAGTCATTCCGTAATGCATCATCCCATGACTAACTCATTAGTCACATTGCTTGCAAGGCTTGTAGTGATGTGCATTACCGAGAGGGCCCAGAGATACCTCTCCGAAACACAGAGTGACAAATCCTAATATTGACCTATGCCAACCCAACAAACACCATCGGAGACACCTATAGAGCATCTTTATAATCACCCAGTTACGTTGTGACGTTTGATAGCACACTAAGTGTTCCTCCGGTATTAGGGAGTTGCATAATCTCATAGTCATAGGAACATGTATAAGTCATGAAGAAAGCAATAGCAATAAACTAAACGATCATAGTGCTAAGCTAATGGATGGGTCTTGTCCATCACGTCATTCACTACTGGAATTAGCTTCTTTGCCATCAGCCAACTCTTTGTCTCCCGCTTGCTGACGGCAAAGAAGGTCTTTGCCGTCAGCCACAGGAAAACGGACGACAAAGATGTGGCTGATGGCAAACAAGGTCTTTGCCGTCCGCTGGCTAACGGCAAAGAGGTGGGTGGGTCTAGTTATTGTTTGACCAACTCAAGCCCACCGGCCTCACCTCTTTGCCGACCGTTGGCTGACGGCAAAGAGGCGGGTACGTTAACGGCCGTCCCGCCCTCATCCTCTGTCTCTTCTCTCCACTCTCTCATTCCCTCCCCACCCACACCCGCGCCGCCACCGCCGACCCCGTCTGCCATAGCCGGCCGCCGCCCACCCCTCCCCTGCGGCCCCCCGACCTCCACCGCACCCCCGCCGCCCCTTCCATGT